CTCCCCGCGGCCTGGCCCTGCCCAGGCCTGCAGCTGGGGCAGAGGACCGGTGTCCTGGAGGGGCCGGGAAAGGGACACGACACTGTTTACTTGAAACAAACTTTTATTCTGAATGCTGGTCTGGTCAGTCCATGGCCACAGGTCAGTGGTAACTAGAAACAGTTGGAAGAGGGGAAGAGGGCCCAGCAGAGGGAGCAGCGGTGGGGGGACGAGACAGGAAGGAGGTGAGGCTGAGGAAGGACCCAGCCAGCTGGGTGTCTACCCCGGCTAGAGAAGGAGCACGCCCACCCTCAGCCCACCTAAACCAAGGGCTTCAGTGCAGAGCTCAGTCCAGGCTGGGGTGGGGCCCACGCACCATCCCACCCCAGGCAACTCAGAGGACTAAGCTCTCCGTCTGGGCCTGGAGGCACCTTTCCACCACTCCTTCCCTGCCCTCCCTGCTGAGCTCAACAGCTTTGCTGCACCCCTGTGGCAGGGAGGGACTCCAGCCCCCACCTGGCTTAGAGGAACCACCCCTAACGCCACCAACAGGAGCTGCTGGAAAGTATGATCCTGAGTGGCCCGGACCCCAGTCCAGTACCCAGTGCCCCGAGGCCCAACAGAAAGCCAGAGTCCAAGCAGGAGGCAGCTCCCGGGCAAGGCGAACCTCCAGGCCGGGCTGACGGCAGGAGGCAGGGGAGCCAGGGACAGCCCGGGCAAACAGGATTGTCTCCAAGGGCAAGCCCACCAGCGGTCTTTGGGTCAGTGGCTGGGGTCAGGGTCAGGGTCAGGGTCGGGGCTGAAGCTCCTACCATCCAGTTGCCCTCCCCTCCGCACACGTACGGGCCGTAGTTGAAGAGCTTTTGGCATTATCTGTTTGGGGGCTCAACAGGTAAGAGAGGGGGGTAAGGGATGGGGATGCCACCGCATCTCCCTGTCAAAGTCCCCAAGTCCTAGATTGGGGTTCCCTGCCCTGGCAACAGCAGACAAAATCCCAGGAGCCCCCCAGCCTAGCCACACAGGGATGGTGGGCTTCTTCAACTCCTGACATGCCCTAAGGGCCCTGAGGATTCTCACAGACAGACACGTGGACGGGTGGACAAACGGGCAGCCATGGAGGAGAGAAGAGAGACCGGCAGGGCCTTGCCCGCTGCCCTCCTGCGCACACATGCACGCACACACACACACACGCACGCATGCACGCACACACTCTAAACAGAGACAGAGATTATATAATAAAAAGAATAAAAACTAAGGGCCCAGATGTACAAAAAATGTGTGAGTGAGGAGGAAGGCAGGGGATGGGGAATGGTCTGTCCCTGGAAACCTGTCCCCCTTCCTCGGTTTGTGTCAACCCCCGGAAACGCTGGGGCAATGAGGGTCCGCTGCGGCCGGGGGAGGGCGGGGGGTGGTCAGAGCTGCTCCGTCCACCTGCTGGAGCGTGGCCAGAGTGTGAGGACCCCTCGGGTGGTGGGGGAGGGCAGGGACGATTCAGCAGCCACTGGCAGGGGGCACGGCGGGCCCCCGGGGAT